CGTCAGTGCCTTTACACTGCTTGGAAATGTGACCGAATTTAAGGCATTTGAAACACTGCGTAATTCTACCAATAAATTGTTCAACTTGGAAATGTACAAAATTAGCTGTTACAGAATTTGGTAAGATATTACCTTCAAAGGTAACTACGATAGTTTTTTTTGGTACATACTCTATTTTTCCATCCCGTTCAACCTTTCGGTGCAACCTTTTGATATCAATAATACGAGAACTAGATGTCATGTTTTCTTTTAAATATTCAATGTCATATTTTGTATCAACGTCTCTAATTAAACCCTTAATTTCAAGTAGGTGATTAGGTATATACGCTTTTAAATTTTCTGTAATTAATTGAGTGTTTGTAACTAATTTATTAGCATCTAATATAGACTTTAATATAACTTTGATGCGGTTTCTACCGATACTTTTAATTTCTACAATATTATTGATTTTTAATTTTTTATGTAATATGTGACCTACTGTCATAGGGTGCAATCGGCCTATATTCTGTTCATTATTGCTACTTTCAATATAAACACAACAATTGTGGAAATTGTACTTATCTGAATTAACATTAAACAGTTTTATCACTTTCGTTTTTTGGAGGTTGACATTCGTCGTATCCGAATCCAGGTCCATTTCTTTATCTACATCGATAATTTCGCCACTAGCACTATTATTTAAATCACCCATGGGCGTCCTGTGTTGTGCCTCCCCCATCGGGGAGGAATATTGTTTTTAAAATAGCACAAAATATAAAAATTATTTAAAACTAGCGAAAGTAATGTGTCCCAAAAGGTCACCTGATAACAAAACCGGTATAATTTCTCGCACAACTATTCTCTACGAGTGTTTATCCGATACTGCTTATAAATAGTTAAAACATCGTCCTCTAGCCGTTTCACGAAATCGCTACCAGCATTATCACCCGTAAAAGTTACAAATTTCGTCAATGCATTATCAAACGAACATTTAATCAAATATGCAAAAGAATATGGTTCATGTTGGTATGTCGGGATAGTAAACTTTTTTTCCAGATCTGGTTCGCAAGTATCTATTGGTTTTAAAATCGATTCAAAATCAGCATAAATTACAAATGGAACCCTAAGTTGCTTATCATAATTTTGAAACTTAAGTATGTTTTCAGGTACATAATTACCGCGTTTGTCTTTTTTCAGCTCCACTGATGGCATGCTGGTGTATATATGATTACAATCGCGCAATTGGTGCCGCAATAGTGTGCTTTCAGAACGGAAATAAAGTAAACAGCCGTCACAAAAAAAATGTTTATGCTCATTTCTAGTTACTTGATTCGATACCAATATGGAAATATTTTTAATCTAACAATAGTGACTATTTCCTGAATCCTCCGTTATTAATAGTAAATTTATATGGTGTCCTAACCTCCTAGAGGAATATCGTAATGGGCCTACTATTTCGAATTTAACCTTACCATTTTCATAACTACGTTCCAAACCATAAACATTAACACTTATGTCATTTAAATCTTCAAATTTTGAAATGTCTTTAAGCTTCATAGGGAATTCAATACCATCAACATTCAGCACGGTCTCGAAGTGTGGATACGATGTCGTTAGGTGAACATTGTCCCTCGCTGGATATAGCGCCGACGTGATGGCCCAAGCAAAGCAATACGCATCATTATTTTGGACATTAACTACACCCTTCTTGGTTTCAATAAACTTGGGGAGCTTAATATACGAGCAGCTGCCTAATGGGGAGTACTTATTTATATTTACTTCTAAAAATAATACTTCCCTTAATGTCCAACCTGAAACAATTAGTAATATATTAGTAAACGCTATACTATGAATTATAAAACTATTATACCTGAATCCTTATGTTGAAAGTCTGTAGTTTGAGATACCACAGCATCCTTAAAGTCTACATATACCGCATCCAAATCCGTCGACAAATCGAGTATTCGATTTATGCTGTTAAAAGATTTGATTTCAGAAACATCTTGGCTCTCCAATGCATAAGTAGCGAAGGCCTCTACATTAACTTTAATGGCATTATGGGCCTTCAGAACAACTTTTAACAATTTCAATACTCTTAATTTTATCGCATCAAAAAATGTTACATAATCTATATGTTTTTCATCACATTTAAGCCTGTAAGTTGCGATTCTGCACTTAAACGCGCTCTTAATTAAATATATACCATCAGTATGAATTGCACAGGCTTTTTCTTTATTCCCAAGACTCCTCATATACGACGTCATCTGATTGGTAGGGACATCTACATTACATGATTCACATCTTCTATTATGGGCTTTTGAGTCTACGATGCGATGCGTATGAACTTGTGGAACTCGCATTACCCGGGCTTTTTTTTCAGGTGGAACATCATTACTGGGAGTAGTAGATCTCTTCGTACCTCCGGATGATTCGCCGATGCGGTTAGATATCAGCTTACAACTTTTATTTTGATGTCGACGTAAATTATCTACCCTTGTATATGTTAAACCACAATTGCACTTATACATGTTTATTATTTTTATGATTATTTTGATATTAGATGATAGAACTCCCGATAGGCTTAAAGCTAGCGATATTTGTACGGATTTGGATGCTGGTCCTACTATATATATCCTCTAGAAAATTCCACCACCTCTTCTTAGCTCCTCCCCCGATATTTCAGTTGGGCGCGTCTATCTCTGGCGCAGCTACCCCTTCTTAGTCCCTTACCACGATATTTCGGTTAAGCACGACCGTCTCTAACGCAAGCTAAGCACTCTAGGCACGACGGCCGAGAGTTAAGGACGTGCTGTAAACAGTAATCACTAGGAGACGCTTAGATAACATTCACTACATTGCATACAGTAATTACTACCTAAGGTGTACTTACACTTTAATAGGTATGGAGTAATGAGATTTATACCCCGTGGGTAATTGGGAGGTACTTATTATGCAATAATTACAATCATTACAGTATGGCGTGTACATGGTAATTGGGAGGTACTTACTGTGCAATTGCACTTATTACAGTACTTTCTAATTGCGCGTCTATCTCTGGCGCAGGCTACCCCTTCTTAGTCCCTTACTTCAATATTTCGGTTAAGCACGACCGTCTCTAACGCAAGCTAAGTACTCTGGGCACGCCGGCCGAGAGTTAAGGACGTGCTGCCAACATTAATCACTAGGAGGCACTTAGATAACATTCACTACACTACATTGCATACAGTAATTACTACCTAAGGTGTGCTTACACTTTAATATGTATGGAGTAATGAGATGTATACCCTGTGGGTGATTGGGAGGTACTTACTGTGCAATTGCACTTATTACAGTACATGATGTAATTGGGTGGTACTTACTGTGCAATTGCACTTATTACAGTACATGATGTAATTGGGAGGTACTTGCTAATTGCGCGAAGGGTGGGGGGTACTTAGGATAATTACTAATTACCCAATTACCTCTCCCTGTACCTCTTTCTCATTTCCAGAACCGGCCAATTACATCTACTGAAAACTCCGCCATTTTGAACCCTTATTACGTGTTGCCTACATCTTGGCGCAATATTTTTAATAGGTGCGTTTTAATCATCCGCTTCTGATTCGGAATTGTCGGTTTTCTTGTTTTAATCTGACAGGTTAAAACGACTAAACCGACAATTCCGGAAGCAGAAGCAGATGATTAAAATGCACCTGATATTTTGCTTGTTGCTGTCAGTGTCAGTGAATATTATTTTTGAAGTCACAGTTTATTGCTAAAGAATCAGTTAGCTCACTCGGACCAGTTGAAAGTTCCAAAATAACATCCACTCCAGGGATACAAATTCAGGATACGCAGAAGACTGCTGTTTTATTATAGGCGGTTGTCATATATTGTATTATCCGAGTTGTACAGTGTACAAACTGAAACATTGAGATCAAAAGTGCCGACGCAGAGTGAGCGATCTGATTCTTTAGCTGTAAACTGTGTCACAGTGTTCAAAATGGCTGCGCCCTCTGTTGGGCGTGTCGGACCTCTCTCTTGCCTCGTATAGTAATCAAAGTATGTGGATTTTAGTATACAAATGCATCCATGTACACACCAAAAAGGAGCTGTTGGAACAAACCATGGAACAAACCTATGTACCCTTATCTCTGATTAGGGAGTTATTGCAAGTTCACTTAAGGTCAGTCACTATTAGTGCCGCTCTTATTTTGACATCTGAGCATGCGTAGATCACTAACTTTATTAAAGATTGTGCCTGTCCATAATAAGAGAGTTATTGCAAGTTCACTTAGGGTCAGTCACTATTAGTGCCGCTCTTATTTTGACATCTAAGCATGCGCAGATGTTTATGTTCTAAAACTGACTTTATTAAGGATTGTGCCTGTCCTTAATTGTGGATGTTTAAGGGCAGCAGGTAGTGGCGACTTTATAGCTTTCGGATGCGCTCGTCATTTAAACCTTCTAAAATTATAATTTCTAATGCCTCTTTAATATTAGGTACTATTATAGAATTTATTTGACTCTAATTACGATGTCACTATTAGTGGCTGGCTTTATAGAAATTTGCAATATCTCTCTATTAAGGACAGGCACAATCTTTATTAAAGTTAGTGATCTGCGCATGCTCAGATGTCAAAATAAGAGCGGCACTAATAGTGACTGACCTTAAGTGAACTTGCAATAACTCTCTATTAATACGTTACGATAACCGGTTACCTTTTAAGGACTTTTGGTGATTTTCAGGTTAAGCAAGGGTATAACCAAAGTGTTTTTGGTTTATCGCTTTAAAATATTTTTAATTTTTATTGGGTTTCGTAAACGTTACTTTTGTTACTTTAGAAGTCTGATATTTGAAATGTCTTATGAGTCAGAAAACTGGTCATAGAAGAACTTTTTGAGGCATTAATAGTTCCATAATTCTTTAGTTATTAATAAGTGATTTCGACCAATATTTAAACAAAAATTGTAGATGATATTATTAATGGTTTGTTGAATAGCTACCTTTTGATATTCGTATTAGAAGCCAGTAAGTAAAATGTTATCATGACAGTGACAATTTTTTTTCCAGTATTTGATCAATTTCAAAATTATAAGCAGTTATAAAGACTAGATTTATATTTCAACGACTCTAGAATTACGTTTTACGATTTCACACCTTACTAAGATGTAATTTAGATCCTAAAATAACCTTGAAAAGTTAAATCAAGGCAGAGCAAGGTAATAATTTGAAAATTTCTCTTCAAAAACATTTTAAATGAAATTCTTCCGAATAACAGCAATATTTTATGAAATATTTTGACATTTCCTTGGAGGGTACCTCTTAAAAGTGAGAAAAGTTTTACTTATTATATTAGGAAAACCATTTCTAAATCAATACCACAGCAGATATTACCCCAGATGCGAAATTCGAAAGTGTTAATTCTTTGACAGAAAATTTAAATGGGTGTAGGGCAATTTAAATTATTTTGGGTCAATATTGTTGCCTGATTATGTTTTAGATGGCAGGGTTGGTGTAAGAACTAAATAGTATTGAACTTACTGTTTGTAATTAAGGAAGGTACAGTGGTTTTGTAGATATTTTATATGTAAAATATATAATAGACTTATGTATGTCTATTCTGACAAAACTCAATTTCTAGTTATCATAAACAAAAACTATAGCCATATTCGAGCGGTCTACTGGTTTAAATATATTTCATGCGGTTCGAAAACGGTTTGAACACATACTTTGATTACTATACGAGGCAAGAGAGAGGTCCGACACGCCCAACATAGGGCGCGGCCACTTTGAACCCTGTGACACAGTTTACAGCTAAAGAATCAGATCGCTCACTCTGCGTCTGCACTTTTGATCTCAATGTTTCAGTTTATACACTGTGCAACTCGGATAATACAATATATGACAACCACCTATAATAAAACAGCAGTCTTCTGCGTATCCTGAATTTGTATCCCTGGAGTGGATGTTATTTTGGAACTTTCAACTAGTCCGAGTAAGCTAACTGATTCTTTATCAATAAACTGTGACTTCAAAAATAATATTCACTGACACTGACAACAGCAAGCAAAATATCAGGTGCGTTTTAATCATCCGCTTCTGCTTCCGGAATTTTCGGTTTAGTCATTTTAACCTGTCAGATTAAAACAAGAAAACCGACAATTACGAAGCAGAAGTGGATGATTAAAACGCACCTATTAAAAATATTGCGCCAAGATGTAGGCAACACGTAATAAGGGTTCAAAATGGTGGAGTTTTCTATCTCCTTTTAAAAGGCACTTAGAAAGCTGCGCAGTGCGACCATTCTCCGTATAGTAAAAGAAAATTAAAGTATGTGGGTTTGAACTATTCCCTTTCGAGTGACCAAACAATGACGTCATGGTGAAATAGATGTAAACCAGCTGTATCTGTTTCTGAAACGTTTCATTGAGAACGGTTCAAGGAAATAGAAATGTCATTAATGTCAAAAATTGTAGCGAAGAACATGCATTACAGTTCATCAAATTTCTAGAGGCTTTCGACGGCTAGACAGAGAAAGCACTACTGACAGGCATCCCGACGGATTTACGCAATGAAAGTACACTTTGCGCATCAAGTATTTCACTATTTCATTCAGACGTAAATGTCAGATGTAAATTTCGCTAAAACATTTCTTTTATTTTCGTTTGTGTTTTTTGCTCATTACAGTTTAATAGAACCTAAGTATGGAGTTTAATAGCAAATTAAGAGGCCGCGTGATTAACAGTCAATCTCGCGAAATAATAGCCAATGTTATAGAGTTTATGAGAAGAGAAGGAAACTTTAATTCACCTTCAATACCATTTAAAAATGTAAATGATCGTGTTGCTGCAGCCACAGGAGTATCTAAAAACACTGTCGTCCGCATTTCTGGAGAGAAAAAAAGAATCGATAACCGTGAGATATCGGAATTTTCATCACCAAGAAAAACCATTAAAAAACCAAAAACAGTTAATGATATAGATGAAGCTGAAGAAAAACAAAATTTCGAAAATTTTAGTAATGTTTCAGAAACAACCGTTATTAATAATAGGTACAATTTTCCTTAATAAGGTAGAAATAAAATATAAACTATTTCCACGATTTACAAAGGCCTACAAAAAAATTATAAGTATTTTCCGCTATCCTATAAAATTTATATTTTCTGACTCAATTTCAAAAGGTTGAAGGAATTCCAAAACACCTTTTATGGCATAATAATTATTTTCAATTCTACATACTATCTTTAGCTGCTTTTAAAAACGTTCTAAGAAAGTCCAATCAGACCAATTTATTCCCTAAACTATTCCACACTTTTAAAATTTAATTACCTAAAAATATTAAAAACTATTTAAAATAACTTGTTTAGCAGACTGTACAATAGCTATCTTAGTCACACGTAGCGCGTTCTCTGTCTGGGCGTCGAACACCTCTAGAAATTTGATGAACTGTAAAATCAAATATCAAAAAAGATTGTTTATATTACGGTTATAAGAAAAAATAGAAAATGCATAATTATGATGGTTTATAATTTTTAGTAATTTTTGAAAACTTAACCTTGTAATTTTAAACAACTGGTTAAAGTCGGATTTTAAATATAACGATCCATTTTTCATAAAACTCGGGTAATATATTAGCTTTTTTTGAGGCAAAAAATTATCTGTTGCTAGAGATTTTAACACTCACAAATCCTTAACTGTTAGTGACATCAATGCTTTAAAATCATCTATTTGAGCGCTTTCAAAATCTATGACGTAGTATTAAAACTGGTTCTAAAAGTTGTTGAAAATATTTTTAAACCAAAGAGACCGCTCGAATATGGCTTATATTTAGATAACTTTATTTAATACTATTAAGGTAAATTTAAATTTAAAACTACAATCTCTTTTATCTTCTATATGAAACTGAGACTGCAATAAAATTCTAATTCAGAATATGTTTACAATTTGGCCTGAAATAATTACAGTCTACCATGAAAAGAATTGTAGTCCTTCTGAAAAATTTATTTTCAATATTTAACAAAAAAACAGGTTAAAATTTTAGACCCATAAATGCACAGACCAGATTAAAAATTATTATTTTCAAATGTGACAAATTGGGACCACCATACATTGTGTTTTGTTTACTATTTTTATTTTATTAGAGTGAAAATTGTTAATTTTCAAATAAATTTTAGTTTTTTTTACTTCTGCAAGAGTCTAGAAGTTTTTATTCTATGAACTAAAATAAGCTTTTCGGTTTTTTTGTATCACCAATGTGAGTTTGGAAGATTAGAACAGAAAAGAGAAGATGCCATTAGGTGAACTCATATCCATAACACCCTGTATAATATTAAATTATACTTTATACATGCATTATCTCAGCAAGCTTTATATATTTATATTCAAATAATGAGTCGTTAGAAATCATAAATCAGTTTTTTTAACTATCTACTGCCCACTTTTTTTCATGTAGTTACCATTCCTTATTATTTACTACCTATTGATACTGGAAAAACAAAAATGTTAAAGGCTGATATAGCTATTATTCATTCCAAAAATAACAGTAACAATCGCTAATTAGTGCAGAATGAGTTTTAGATACATTACGTTTTTTTGTCGTTTTAGTTTTTGTGGCCAAGGTGTACTTAAAGGTATGTTATTTTTTTTATTACTAATTTTAATTTTAGCAAATAAATTTAAAAACTTTAAATAATGTGAATATCTTCTACTACATATACCTATGCATTTTTATCTGCAGTTGGATCATAAATCAACAACCTGCGTTGTTGGTATTTCATTGCGACAACTAATAAAAACAAAACTTAGGTTGTTAAAACTACTAGAAATTAATTAAACTAAACAATGACAAGTAGAACAGTAATAATCGTACCTATTTTTAGATTGTAAAAATGGGCGAAGTTTAGCTTAACTTATTATTGTAAAAAGTCTTATTATATACAGGGTATTCCTAAACATTATGCACATACGGAAGGGGATAATTCTTAGAGTTACATAAACATTTTTTGTCTACACCCACATGGATATTAGCGTGTCTTTTATCTAAGATATTAGCTAATCTACACAAAGACGAGTCCGGGACGACTTTAGGGACAGTGGAATTTTAAAGAAATTTATATTTTATCATAAAGAGCGTATTTTAAATAGTACATTTAAAAACATAATTTGCGGTAAATGCATTATTTAAGCCAAAAAAACTATTTAATTTCTATATAAATCAGCATTTTGACGAGTGTAAACATCGAAACTCGATGGTTTCTGTCAAATTTGGAAAACATAATAGCAACCTTACCGGATTGTGATAAAATTAGTAGTTAATGGAAAATTGTGATTGCGCATACCAGTCCATAAATATGCAACAAGAAAACGAAGCAACGACTTATCGTAGGGTGGCGGCTTTGCCGCCACCAAAAAACATCGACCCATACCTGGCTACGCCGACCGGCATAGACTGAACACAGCTCAAATTGAATAATTGAAATGAAAAGTCTCAAATAAACACATTTATATTCTGGTTTTATCATCTGGCCTGGAGCTATTGAAAAAACAGCCACTGTCATTTCCGTTATGCACGTTCTTTTACTATATTTGATAACACCACAATTATAGAAATATAAATGTCAGTTGTCATATTATTCATAAACAAAAAAATAATATAGAACGGTATTACCATGAATATATTTATTTAGAACAAATAACAAAAAGCAATTGACAACATCGCTAAAATCACGCACAGGCGCTCTTAGTGTGACTGTCAAATCGAAAAAATTAAAAACAATATGGCTACGTGAAAATATGAATAAACACATATTCTTAATTTTTTAGCTTATAAATGTGTTTTAATAATATTTGTTGCTTTAATTAGGTTAGTGCACACTAACAGAAGATTAAAAAGTATAAAAATATTATGGTTTTACTTAATCTTTATGGAAAAAGTGACAAAATTACTGTCCCTAATATCGTCGTTAGCCCACAAAGACTACGAAACGAACAAGTATGCTATTACGTTCAACTGAACGAATATATTTCATATCTATTCTAGGTACTGAGTACACTGGAAAAAACTAAAATCCACAGATCACAGTTCATATTTTAAATACCCAACTATTATTTTTAAAATTTAAATAAATGACAATGAGTTAAAATTCGTGTAGAATCGATAAATAGCATTTTTATTTGGTCCACATTTAAAAAAAAAATTATCAGACTATATGAAACTAATTTAATTATCAGTATTAAAACTTAAATCTTAAAACTGGCAGTAGAGGCGAGGCCAAAGCGTCTGACTTCCACTCGTAAGTCCAGGGATCAAATCTGGGCTGAGGACTAATTAAATTAAATCTTCTTTTTCTTTATTTTTTTTTATAGATTAGTAAAATATTTTAAAATTAGTTATTTTGTCGTAATAACCTAAAATATTTTTTTAAATTTGTAGATTTTTGTTAGTGGTTCATAGAAAAAATATACTGTACATCTCGAGTGGATTATCCATATCAACAATTTTTTTTCATTTGGTGTCATCGGCATCGACTACTAAGGTCATTAGCCTCGTGTTCTGTGTAGGCTTTGTTACTGTTTCCCAGCGCCATTTTAGGAACAGGTACTGTTAATTAGAACCAAACAGTGAATGGTCGAGTTAGGGAATCCTACCAAGGCATCAGAATTAAATAAAAAAATTCCGGCCAAGGGTAGGATTCGAACCTAGGACCCTTGGATCCACAGGCAAAGACTCTACCACTGAGCCACCCACCACATAATATCCACTATTGTTGCACAAACTAGTGATGTACTTCTTTTTAATTACTTCTTGTGACAAACATTTATACGACGTTAATTTATATAACTCCCAACAATATCGCATACAAGTACACATATTTAAGATGACTATCTTTAGTCTTTACACCGCAGACCTAACATTTATAGGCTCCGTCCTGCATTTTATATATGGAGTTACCGATGATCGCTTGATAGGAACGTAACCGCGTGGTAAACTATTATGAGCAGTCTCCGTTGAGTGGTAATCAGTATTTTAATCTATTTTTTAAGTTTTACATTGAATGTTAATTCAGAATATTGTATTATCATTTATCATACTTTTTATGTAGAAAACTTTAGATGACTTATTTTATTGTAGATTACTTTTAATGCTTTTGTTTATCTCGTGTTATATTGGGAATGGTGTGCTAATACACTGCGACCTAAAAGATCTATTGTTTCACCTTCTGTCGCTAATGCAGCAAGTAAATGTCTCAGTGCCTATAACGACCCTTCGAATTCTCTCTTTTCAAAGAAGTGTAGGATTTGGAGTGGCTACAAGTTAGGCAAATCTCCCTCTTCTATTTGATATGCTCTTAGGTATAGTGCCCTTGGATTTTGAAATGCTACTCATTCAATTAGAATGTAAATGGAGTTTTCGTCTTCCTCCTCACAGAATCTGCACTTACTATCTTCTACTGTTCTCAGTTTGCTAAGGTGTCCTTTTAGTCGGCAATGCCCAGTAGGGATCCCTGTTACAATACATAGCCTGTTCTTGCTCAGACAGATGCAGACTTCCGACCTTTTCTGGTCATATTCATCCAGAAGTACCTTAGCCTGTCTTAGCCCCAAGAGATGGTTCCAATTATCGGTTCTACTGCCCAATTCTTTTTTAATCTCTCCTAATATTATGTTACTGCTCAGGTTCCACAAAGGCTGTTTGAGTCTCATTCTTTGCGAGACTATCTGCAATCTCGTTACCCTGTACCCCCGTTATGTTCCGGGACCCGATTGAGAGGTCACTCTATTTTTCTCGCTTAGCTCATCCAATTTTTCTAGGCATCTCCAGACCATTACGGAACTGATTTCTTGGCTGCTTGGCTATCGGACATCTTGATAATCTCTTATCTACGATAGTTTCTCTCGATGTTAAACTGGACACACTTCTCGATGGCGTGAATTTTCGCCTGGAAGATGCTTGGGTATTTTCCCAAACTTTTAGAGTGACTGGTTCTAAGCACATACACTCCTATTACAGTTCCTTCTATAGTTTTTGGAACCATCCGTATAACATTGAATAGCATGTCTTTCGGTTGCAAGCGCGATGAATTCTTGGCTCCATTCTTTTTTGCAACCCAGCTCTGTGGTTTTGAAGTTTTTCCCCACAACTGTATTTCTTTTTCATTTCATCCTGGAGTATATCCCAAGTATCTTTGATCCTGAAGCTAGTAGACTTTAGTCTGATTACTCCATTTCTGATTATTCTATATCGTGTCCTTTTTAGTACATTTTCTGTCATTAAATGTAGAGGAGTGAGGTTACTCCAGGGCTATATCCCCATAACTGATAATTGGTCTCGCTATTGCAGTATACAACCATCGCAGTGTGTTCGGGTTACATCCCCATTTTTACTTGCAATGTTTCTGCATACCATTAGGGCTTTTGTGGCCTTATTTACTACTTTCTTCTTCCTTCTTCCTTCTTCCTTCTTCCTTCTTCCTTCTTCCTTCTTCCTTCTTCCTTCTTCTTCTTCCTTCTTCCTTCTTCCTTCTTCCTTCTTCCTTCTTCCTTCTTCCTTCTTCCTTCTTCCTTCTTCCTTCTTCCTTTCTTCCTTCTTCCTTCTTCCTTCTTCCTTCTTCCTTCTTCCTTCTTCCTTCTTCCTTCTTCCTTCTTCCTTCTTCCTTCTTCCTTCTTCCTTCTTCCTTCTTCCTTCTTCCTTCTTCCTTCTTCCTTCTTCCTTCTTCCTTCTTCCTTCTTCCTTCTTCCTTCTTCCTTCTTCCTTCTTCCTTCTTCCTTCTTCCTCTTCTTCCTTCTTCCTTCTTCCTTCTTCCTTCTTCCTTCTTCCTTCTTCCTTCTTCCTTCTTCCTTCTTCCTTCTTCCTTCTTCCTTCTTCCTTCTTCCTCTTCCTTCTTCCTTCTTCCTTCTTCCTTCTTCCTTCTTCCT